GGGTCAGACAAACACAGAGGCCTATGCAATATTTCTGCGGCTCTTGAGGGTAGCAGCAAGCTGCTTCTAAAAACTGCTGTTGTTCTGGCTTTGTGGAACTTCTCTAGACTGAATGGCAAAAGCAGCTAGTACATTAATCTTATTTAATAGGTCTGAGTTCATTTTATAGGAAGGGATGAGACTGAACAGGACTCGATCCCAGGTCCCCAGGATCCCCACTGTGTCTTAATGTACTTGGTTGTTTGCTATAACCAATTTTTCTCAGAACCAAAACTTTGCCAGAGTTATAATTAAGGATGGATTTTTGAGGCTTTGTCAAGTATTATCTTAAAACAACTCCCTATGGGGGCAGCTGGGTGGCTCAGTTGGTTAAGTGTCTGACTCTTGGTTTTGGCTCAGGTCATGATCTCAGGATCCTGGGATCCAGCCCTGAGTTGGGCTCTGAGCTCAGGGCGGAGTCTGCTTTAGTTTCCCCCTCTCTCTCTACCCATCCCAGCTGCTTTACTCTTTCTCTCTTTCTAAAATAAATAAATAAAATCTTTAAAAAAATTGATTTAGGGCAGCTTGGGTGGCTCGGCAGTTTAGCGCCGCCTTCAGCCCAGGGCGTGATCCTGGAGACCAGGGATCGAGTCCCACGTCGGGCTCCCTGCATGGAACCTGCTTCTCCCTCTGCCTGTGTCTCTGCCTCTCTCTCTCTCTCTCTGTGTGTGTGTCTCTCATGAATAAATAAATAAAATCTTAAAAAAATTAATTTAAAAAACTGTGTATTAGTCTGTGCTGCCTTATTTACACAAGTCGGAAGGATTATATCAAGAGCTAACTATAGACAAGAAATAGATTTGCTTATTTCCAAATTATGGCAACATTAATCTTGGCAGGTATTTACACAGGAAGAAAGAAACCCAAAACATTTTGAAATTGCTGCTTAAAACTCAGTTTCTTACAATAATATTGGACTGAAAAACAAAACACCACATTCATCACATCCCTTATTATAAGCTGATTATTTTTTTCCAGACTGTTCTGGAAAAAGTGAGAACTGTTCTGCTCCAAATTCTCTGTATTACACCTTTGTCTCAATTCAAATATTATGTCAAATTCTGAAGTCTTAGGACACATGCTCATCCTGGGAGGGTGCTTGATGTGCCCTTGGCTTGAAGTATCTAAACTTTACGTTTCTGAGAAGTTTCAAGAAACTTACACTTACCTGAAAGTTCTCCCCTGTGGCATAATGGGATGATGAGTTACATTCATCCTTATTTCTGTTTTTAATGAGTCTTTTACTAGGACTCGGTGTTCCTCCCTGCATTACTTCCCTCTCCCTCTAACACTCGAGGGGCAGCTGGTGCCACCATATCTTTAGTAGTAGCTGAAAAATGACAAGACGGCAATGTAACTATGCTGAAGGCCATGCACTCTTCAATCTTGGAGCCAATAATTTTTTCTGTGATGGCAATCAATAGCCTTCTATTTATTTTACGCTTTGAAAACATATTTAAAAACATCTTGGAAAGAGGCATAGGGTAGATACGAAAAGCCTTTCTAAGTAACTTTGCCTCTAAATTTGGATTACTGAATTTCTCAAAGGTTCAGAAGGAGGAATGTGAATAAACAGAACTGAAAATCTTATCCAAATACCGTGATTGATCCTTCCTAGGAAATGAGAATGTCAATCAGTGCATCCAATTTTAATAGAGTGGATGGTGATCTAGGTCAAATTTTCCAGTATAATTTTGCACATAAAGCAGAACCCTAAATCTTAATAAAGTTAAGCTAGAGTAGATCTCTCATTGCCCTTGTTCTCTCAGGCCCCTTCGAGATAGAAACTTAGATAAAACCGTGCTTTTCTCCTTGATCCTTTTCACCTTCCTGCTCTCCTCTCTTCCACTTTCTACCTTCAAAGCAAAAGCAAAGGCCCAAATCCCAAACTACTGTGTATTTTTCTGGCCAGAATTCTCTGGGGAAAACGCAATGATGAGTGTGCCCTGATGCCTCCCAGGTCCTGCGATCAACTACAAACAGAGGACAGCTGAAGTCTGGCAGTGGTCACTTCTCTTGGTGCTGGTGAGAGAACCCAAAGTCAAGTTCCCAGACGATTTTATCTCTATCACACCATATCAAAGTGGGGAAGGAAGTGGCTGGAGACACTCCAAATGACCTTGTTTTTCAAGTTAGATGCTAACTTGTTTTGTTTTACTTTGAAGCCTGCCACAGAATAGAGACAAAGAAGTACCTCTGGATGAGTCACTATATGCTTTCTGGAGTAAAGAAATGCTTAAAATGAAGTCCTAGAGTGAACATTAAACTGGGATTATAAAAATCTGGGTTCTAGTCTTGTTGGGCCTCAATTTATCTGTAAAATGAAGTAGTAGAAATAGATGATCTCTAAAAGGGGATGGTAAAGTATTGGAAGAGATCCTGATTGGCTTCAGGTCCATCAAATCCTTGAATTGTATACAAAACAAAGTGTGTGTGTGTGTGTGTGTGTGTGTGTGTGTGTCATTGAATGCCTCTGGACCTCCCAATCTATTAAGAATCATTAAGCTGATTTCAAACTTCAAGGTTTATCTAAGTGATGGTTTTTATTGAAGTCATTTCATTTGGCTTTTCAAGATACCCAAATCATAAATTTTTCAAATGTACTTTGAGTAATGAAAATAAGAAATGAATATAACCTTTCCAGCACATACCCTTTAATGCATGCACATTTAAAAATTAATCTAGACACTGATTATAAAGTAATTTAACCAAGAAAATCATCTGCTATATTTTTTTATAGATTCTGGGTAGTTTTAGATTTAAAAAATACAGGGCTTATCCTTACAATTCATTGATGATCTTATAGCCTCAAGTTTGTGTGTGCATGAAACCTAAAATACTTTGTGTCTTAGAAAATAACATATCTTTTTTCTTACAAGTTTGAAGTTGTCAGTCATAGGTTACACACGTACTCCTAAGAAAACCTGAAACAACCTTTAAGAATAAGTTGCTTTGCAATAATAAATAAGACAAAACATTGATTTCCTTTTGGAAATGACCCACAAGTGGCTTTGTCTCCCTCCAACAATTAGTGATTTATATCCTGGTAAGTATTTTGGAATCTGGGTAATTCCACTATTTATCTGTTTTGATCATGAGAACTTTATTTTCACTTCTCTAGTCTTCAGTTTCATTTGCACCTGATAAATAAAGATTGTGAACTTGCATGAAATGCCCTCAAAGATTCTTCCCTCCTCAATGATACTGTGGCGCTCCTTGGGATTCTCAATGTCCTGTTCTCAAAACAGCTATTCTGGATTTTAAGGTAGACAAGGTGGTGCTTTCATATTAGCTATTTTCTAGTTTTTTGTTAAGAACAATTTTTTCTTTCTTGTCTCCAGTTCACCTGAATGCTCCTAAAAATCTAACACATTAGTAAATGAGATCTTTATTTTTAATAGGTTTTCCCCTTTCTCTAGGAGTGATAGATGTTTCACGAAGTGTATTTAATTTTCCTGTAAGTTCTAAAAGGTAAATTTCACTGGGGCCATGAAAGAATTCTCAAATTTATCCAGGCTATGTAGAAACCACCATCACAGCTGGCTGAAAGGTAAAAGCTTGGTTAAATTGACTTGGCTGGGTTCCCAGGGGTTCGCAGGCATTAAGCAATATCTGAGAGTAAGTCCATTGCCTGCAGAAGCTGTAATAACTCTTTGATCCACTGTAGTTCCATTTAGCACATTGCTCTATAATAACATATTTGTGAGTTATATGAGAAAGTCGATTCTCCTTTCAAAGGCACCATGTTTATAACTTAGGATGTAACATCTCTGGGATGTTGTCAATTTTAAAGTTCTTCCAGATGATTGACTACATGGCCATTGGGCATATTTTCCCTTTTCCTTTTTAAAAACTCTTTCAGGTATCATTACTGTTTTATATAGATGTGATCAATTTTCTTTTCTTTTTTTTTTTTTAGAGGTGATCAATTTTCTTTTGATATCATAACCCAGAGGAGTTGGATGATAAATTCTTAGGGGAGATATTTTATCCTAAGGTGATCAGATCATAATGACCTCCATATATATTACCTTGACTATAGCGAATCTATACTCCATAGGAATGCTGCTGATGAAAGGTGGTGCCAACAGGTAGGGGACAATATAGCGGTTAAGAGATTATATCTGTCCCCACTTGTAGTTACAGGAGTACTTTATAATTTAAGAATCATAGAATTCTACAAAAGACAATGTCTTATATAATACAAAATATCTTATAGTGTCATCTTATCCAAATCTGTCACCACCCCATTTGTAAATGGAAAAGGGGGACAGTGGGAGTTAACAGATTTTCCTAAAGTTATATAGCTTAGGTGATTGTAAATTCTATACTCTTCTGATCCTAATCTAATGTTCTCATGACAGCTCATGTATAGAACTGTGGAGAATGAAATTATCTAAAGATGCTCTTCGAGCAGTCTTTGCTAAATGGTTCTTGCTATTGTTTGCCTAAATTACTTGGCAAAAATTCGTGAAAAATCAAAGTATCAGACTGCGAATGTTATCAAACAGTAGCTTCTATCGTCTCCTCATTACCAAATAAAATCCTAACTGGTGGTTGCTAGATTGCTTCAGACAGACATGAAAATGGTTATTTTGCTAATATTCAAGCAGATGGAAAATACTTGGGAAATCCCAATTTTGTACTTAAAACAGATGCTTATTTTTAAGATAAATGTAATATATTTTAGGTCGTTAAGAACAATTTGTTGAATCCTTATCGAGCTACGGTATTTGGCTGAACCTGGTCTTTCAAAACGGGTCTGTTGGAGGTCCCTCAACTCTCAGGACACCTGGCTCCAGTGAGTGTCTGAATACAAACTGTAGTAACTGTCTCTAATGCCGCAGTAACTTTAGAGAGATGTAGTATGTTATTTTCACTGTTAAGAAGAGGGTCGATGCTGGTGCCAAATTATATGAGAGCACAGTTTTGTGAACAGAAGAGAAATTGAATACACCATGGTAGCTGCTTGGGAAAATGAACCGTATATAATCTAATATCTTTAATTTTATGTACATGGATATAATGTATGTCAACTTTGTACATGAGATACATACAGTATTTAAACATTTTACTCAACAGATAAGAATTTACAATAGCAATATAACTGACTAGAGGGCCGTCCACGTAATATACTTAGATTAGATCTGTACTTTAACAGGAAAAGAATTTAATAGTTTACAATCATAGAAACACTGACATTTAAAACAAGACTTTATAAAATAATTTATATATATCCTAGCATCTATAGAGAGGAATGATTTGCATTTGTTGATGTGTGCAATGAATGGCATATTTTAAACTTTTAGGTAATAAAATAATTTAGAAGCAGTTCATGCAGTGGTCAAAGCAAGGGATGGCAGTTCCTTCAAGGTGCCCTCTATCTTTGACATCAACGGGCAGCAGACGCACAGTAGGTACCATGGGGCACACTAGAACAAGTCTCCTCAACAGTTACTCATATAGACAGCAATATACACAAGGTGATATCCTTCCTTCCCCAGTACGAGTACCGCTCCACAACTTCTCTCAGCCTTGGGGGTGGTCGGTTTACCCTTAAAGTGATTCCATGTCTCTCCTGCAGGTCTATGGAATAATCTCTCTCCCCACGAGGTAACTAACAGAACTTCCTGGTTTTCACCACCTTACTCTGGTACTTCACTGAGTGCCCCCCATGTCCAATGACATAAACATCCAGCAGGTAAGACTTTCCAGGCAGAAGTCCTTTAATTGTTTCCGTGGTCACTGCTTTCTGTAGGTTTTGACTGTGGAAATATTTACAGAGGACTTTTTCCGATTTCTTCCTCGTGTCTGGTCCGAGGCATTGGTTTTGCTCTCTCTTCTTCTGGTCTTCATTGTAGTTATCATCCACTTCCTTTTTGTAGATGCAGAACTTGTTCCTCTCCTGAGTGCCCAGCCAAGCCACAGTGGCCGAAGAACAGGTGCGGAGCTTGTCGAAGGCTTTGATTCTTGTGTCTTCGGGAAGAGACGGGAACGGCTGCTTACTAGGCCTTGTGGTGGCCAGTATTTTCAACATGGACGCTCCTTTCTTGTGTCCTTTCAGTCGAATGAGATACTTGGCTTTCGGCTTTCCTCTAAGCTGGAACTGTCGAATGCCTTCCACATTCTGAGACAGGAGAAGTTTCCCATCCCTTCTCACTTGGATTTGGATAGCATCCAGGCAAGAGTGAATGAAGAAAGTGACTTTTTGGTGAGAAGAGACTGGGGCAAACCGTAAAAACTTGGCCCCCTTCCTTTTGACGAACACATCTGTAACCTTCCCATCTTTCAGCTCCACTGTCTTCTGTTTGGCTTCTTCCTTGGTCCTGGCAAAAGTGCCCACGTATGCGGTGCTCGTGTTGCTGTTGCTGTTGGCCACGAAGACGTCGAAGTAGTACTGCGTGTCGGGTTTCAGATCCGAGACGGTGAAGATGTTCTTGTTTCCTATGCAGATTTTCTGAATGTCCACCTTGGGCCTCGCGTAGACATGCCGCCCCAGTTTGGGAGAAGGCTTTGCGAGGAAGCTGCGCTCTTTCCCCGAATTATCTGAAGGAAACCCAAAATGGGCAAAATCAAAGGGGCTGAAGTCCAGCCCGGGTTTTGGAGCCATCATAAAAGCGTCATCTGCACTCACTTTTGCTTCCACTGCACAGAGACTTTTGAAATTGTGCTCTCTGTTGATGACCACACAGTACTGAATGGGCTGTTTCAGCAAAGAGGCCGTGGGGCTCGGTTTCCAGGCCAAAGTGACCGTGGTGCGTCCCAGGGAGGTAACATCTACTCGTGGGTCATAAGGTAATTCGGGGTAGGGTTGATCAGACTCCGGAGTTGTGGTGGCATACACTTTGAAATGTGTGTCTTTCTCTGTTGAAAGAAGCTCCAACTGATATAAACCAGACGGAGAACTAGAAGATATAAAATACTCCACATCATTGCCTTTGTAGGAGAATAATTCTGTGCCTTCCTCATTAATGATCTGCTGCCTCTGCTGCTCCAGAGGCTCTGGGTCACCTAGAAGACATGAGAGAAGCACAAGCTACACATCAGGGTATGTACCATGGCTTGCCGACCTTAAATTCTGTCTTTAACGCTATCTTTTTATGTTCTCTGTTACAAAAATGATAATGTGGGGCCTGCGTTGCTCAGTTGGTTCAGGGGTGGATTCTTGATTTTTGCCTCAGGCCATGATCTTAGGGTCCTGGGACTGAGCCCCAAGTCTGGCTCCCTGCTCAGCAGAGAGTCTGCTTGGGATTCTCTTTCCCTCTCCCTCTCCCATGGCACCTTTCCCCATTTGAGCTCTCTCCCTCTCTCTCTCTCTCATAAATAAATAAATAAATAAATAAATAAATAAATAAATAAATCTTAAAAAAAAATTATTCCCAGGACATAATTGGGAAATAAAGAAAAAGAACAAGAGAAAGAGCCATCCATTAATTCATGATCCTGAGACAGTACTTTATTAGTATTTTAATTCCTTTTCTTTTTTCTTTGAAGATTTTATTTCTTTATTCAGGAGAGACACACAGAGAGAGGCAGAGACACAGGCAGAGGGAGAGGCAGGCTCCCTGCAGGGAGCCCAATGTGAGACCCTATCCCGGACCGGGATGATGACGCTCAACCACTAAACCACCCAGGCATCCCTATTTTGATTCATTTCCATTCCGTCCTTTACATATTTTATGCAATTGATATTATTCTTTTTCATCTTTCTCTATAACTTAATAACATTTATTCTCATACATATATGTTCCCAGACAACCTCCATTTTTGAATCCTGTCTTTCTTGCTTAATTCTATTATATAATAATTTTTAAAAAACAATATTTTCATAAATATATAAATAATACTGTTGGTCAATTTTTGACCATTTAAGATGATGCCTATATATATATATTTTTTTTTTCCGTATTTAAATTTAGGCTTCAGGATAGACTTCAATTACTGGAAGTTTTAGAACAAAGACTGTAAACCTTTTAGAGATTAATCCCTACTGTCAATCTGCTTATCTGATTGCTTGTTGATGGCCGGCCATTTCACTAATTTTACCCTTGTTACTAGGACTGGATAGTTTCTCATTAAAATATAAAGCACCAGTAAGAGTACCTAATTTTCAGCAGGGAGAACATATGCCTAGGAATAATAGGAGGGTTGTATTGAAAAACTATTTTTTCTACCTTTTTTATTGTTAATATTAGATATCACATAGATACCAGATAAGTGTAGAGGACCCGATGAAGGACCGAGCAGTGAGAGTGGGAATGTACCTTGTTCAGCTTAATACTGCCAGCTCGGTGAGGGATGTGGAATTTCATATTCCCAAATCATGAAATGAACAATCTCATGCAGTTATTTGTTCTCTGTCTCCCTTGATGATGTACTTCCTTTATTTTCCTAGTTCCAACTCCCTCTGTCATCTCATCACTATGAGTAGAGCAGCTTGCTAGCATCCTTTGCATGGCACCACTCACCAGCCTTCACCTTTAAGCTGTGATGCCTTTGCCCCTTAAAGGGAGCAGGTCACCTTGGGACCTCACAGGGGCTTTTCTCATTTCCCTGTATCTTGGTATCTGCTTTCCACAATCTGCAACTTCTTTAAATGCCTAACATACCCCCTACTGACTTTCTAGTCATCCTCGAATTTCAATGGTGAGAAATGCCTTTTAACTCCTCTTTTTGGCATCATCCTTTATTCCCTAGAGATCTTGGCTGCATATTGGAATCACCAAGGGGGAGATTTTAACAGCCCTATGTCCAGGCCACACTCCAGGGCAATTAAATCAGAACCTCTAAGGGTGGGACCCAGGCACCAGTCGTTTTTAAAGCTCCCAGTGCTGATTTCAATGTTTGGGTGAGATTGCAAACCACGGCTAGAGAGGCTAGTCCAAACCTCTCCATTTCTCACTCTTTTGGGCTCCCTGTCTGTCTCCCTTAACTGGTTATGTTACCAAAATCACTGTCATTTGGTGCCATCTGTCATTTCTCTCATCTCCATTGTCAAGTCTCCAGCTTTTTCACCTATGCATCTGCGCTGCTTTTTTGTACAGACGGAGGTCTGTATATTTCATAGGTCCTTTAGCTATTCATTCAGAGGTCTGGGGCCAAACTGATCATGCTGCTTACCCGAGCCTTCCCCGCTTGCCTCCTCTGGCAGCTCCTGGAGACTCAGCTTCCACTCTAAAGGTGCATCACAGGGAGTCACTGTGACTGATAATGGAGTATTGTCTTCTTCAACCACAAAAAAATACCTGGGGAGAAGTGAGCCAATTCAGACTGAGATCATTCATTTTAAGACTTGCAAGCAAGAGTCACTGGGAAAAAAAAATCCCTGGTTTAGTTTTTAATCATTTAACAGAACTACTCTGACACCTTATGGAAAATATCACCTTCCTGCCCATGAAGTTCTCTTTCACACGTCATTTGTCTTCAAAGCACTTATCACTACCTGGCATACTATATGTTTCTTTGTTTACCTTTTTATTTTTCCATCTCCTCTAACTAGAATGGAAGGTATAAGAGCTCAGTTCATTGATGAAGACTTAGAGACTAAGGTAATTCTTAAGTATTTGGTGAATGAATTGATGAATACATTTAGACTTCAGCTTTTTGGGGAAAAGTCTTTAATTGTTCGCAGAGGCTAAAACTTCCTCAGTGTTGGGGCCCTTGCCTACTTCACTGACCTCTCATCTTCTGTGCTCTGAAACACTTGGGGCTCCCCTAGTTTCCCAGAATCCACCCCATGTTGGAACCTTGGGGATTTTGTTTTATATGCCTGAAATGCCACCCCCTGCCCTTACTTATGCTCACGTGTTGCTTCTTTAGGACTGCCTTTTCTGACTCCTAATTCGGGGTCAGGTTCTCATATGCTCTCAGAGTCCTGTGCTTTTCACCTGGAGCACTCACTGAAATTTGTGCCTGTATATCTGTATTATTTTATTGTCATTTTCTCTATAAAGCACCACTTAGGGTTGATTTGCCTTGTCATTGTGTTCCCAGCATTTAGAACTGATTTCTGCATGTGGTAGGTACTTGATAAATATTTTGAAATGATCAATTACTAAATTAATGAGGAAAACTCAAGAATCTTAACACCAACCTATTTTTCCAGCTCCAGGATACTTACACCTACAGTCTGTTTCTATCTAAAAATACAGAACCTGAATGGCACTATAAGTACTTCCCCCCACACACACACCATTCAAATATGACTGAAAAGAAGGAGGGTGGGGGTAGGGCAGTGAGAAGAGACAAAGACTCTATAAAAGTAAAAACATGTTCATAAAATAATAAATTTAGAGTCATCTAGACAAAATAGCTAGATGACTGAAGTATTTACTGTGTAGGAAGTTATACATATCATAAGCATTTTTCAAGACAGGTGTCAGATGACTTAATTTTCAATTGAGTCTACTTTTTGGAGAATAGAATTTTGTTCATTTGGCCAGGTTGCATGAGATATATTAACAACAGACACACAACTGAATCCGTCTATATTACAAAGAAATAGGTACAACAAAATAATGTTTGGCATCATGTAAGTAAAAAAGTGCTCAAAACTTCTAGGTTTTAAGTTTCACGTGGCTAGCCGAGCTACCTACTGAAGTAGAAATCAATGTGTCGGTTCATCTGCTACCTTCTGTTCTCATTTCACACAAAAAGTAGCTTATTTCCCAAAGTAACTGTGCCTTACTAACTTTAATACAGGCTATAGGCAACCAATGACAAAACAATTCTTGGGTTCCACAAGGTACTCATTATACATATAAAACAGCAAGGAGTCCCTCTAACTCAACGTTTTCATATGGAAGCACTTATGATTAGGTATAAAAGATAATCTGAACAAACTTTAACAATTTAACAAACATTTGTTGGCTACATACACAAAGCACTTGGTGAAGAAAAGAGCAATCAGAGATAATAGGGCATGATCTATGTGCTCCAGATATTTACTGGCTGGTGAGGGAGACAGAAATGTAATGAATAACTAAGAAAACATGGCCCCAAATCATAAGGCCAAAGCTGAGGGATAAACACCCCATGAAACATTTAGCCTTTGAAATTTATGTGTAAACATAAGCATAATTAATGAAAAAAAAAGCTATTCACAGCTGCTAAATTTTATCAAGAATTTCGTTAGTTGTAATATCAACAACGTCTACGAGTGCCTCCCACTGCATATTTCACTCCTAGAAATGATGTTTCTATTGTTGCTGCAACTCTCAACTCAGTGTGAAGTGACATTTCATCTAAATGTAGATATCAAAGCCCTCAATCGTTATTTGTGGGGAAAAAAGCCAGGAAAGAATAAACAATTATACATAATTTTTGAAGGTCAAAATATTATGTAAGCCCAATTTGTTGATGGAGTAAAGGTAAATGAACAGTAATAGTTTTGTTTTAAAGATTTTATTTATTTATTCATGAGAGAGAGAGAGAGAGAGAGACAGAGACATAGGCAGAGGGAGAAGCAGGCTTCATGCAGGAAGTCTGATGTGGGACTCGATCCCAGAGTCCTGGGATTATGCCTTGAGCCACAGGCAGACGCTCAACCACTGAGCCACCCAAGTGTTCCAACAGTAATAGTTTTTTACTAAAGTTTGTTTTAATATTCTCAGAATATAATCATACTGTTAAAAAATATTATCTTTTTTTTAAATTTAAGTAGGCTCCATGGCCAGCATGAAGCCCAATGCAAGACTCAAACTCACAACCCTGAGATCAAGACCTGAGCTAATATGAAGAGTTGGAAGCTTAACTGACTGAGTCACCCAGGCACCCCCAAAAGACAATGTAAACCCTTGAGGAATCACATGTATTAATTTAATTTCACATATCTTTTAGCTTCTTTTTGTTGAGATACAATTGAAATATATTAGTTTCAAATGTACAAAAATAATGATTTGATATATGTATATCCTGTAAAATGATCATCGCAGTAGTCTACTTTCCCTCTGTAACCATATAAAGTTACATAATATGCAATATAATATTATTGACTGTAGTCATTATGCTCTACATAACATCTCATTTTCTTTGGAGAGATACCCAGAAGTGGAATTTCTGGGTCATATAATAGTTCTACAGATTTTTGAGGAATCTATTACTGTTTTCTGTAGTGGCAGTACCAATTTATATTTCCACTCATAGTGCACAAGGATTCCCTTTTCTCCACATTCTTGCCAATATTTGTCATTTACTGCCTTTCACATAATAGTAATTCTGACAGGTGTGAGGTGGCATCTCATTATGTTTTTGATTTGGATTTCCCTGATGATTAGTGATATTGAGCATCTTTTCAAATACCTGTTGGCCATACGTATGTCTTCTTTGCAAAAATGTCTATTCATATCCTCTTCTAATTATTTAGATTAGAAGGTTAATAGACTGAATAGACTAACCTGATTAAAAAATAAATAATAGACTGAATAGACTAATTACTAGCAAGAAGATTGCTAGTCCCAACCAACAGAAGTCCAGGACCAGATGGCTTCATTGGTGAATTCTACTAAACATTCAAAGAAGGTTAGTCATTTTTTAATCAGGTGTGTCGTGTTTTTATTTATAGGTCATATGCATTCTTTATCTGTTTTGGATTTTAACCCTTTATTAGGTATATAATTTACAAATATCTTCTCCCATTCATTAGGTTGCCTTTTTATTTTGTTAATGATTTCCATCATTATGCAGAAACCTTTTAGTTTGATGTAGTCCCACTTATTTTTGCTTTTGTTACCCTTGCCTTTGGAGCCAATTTTTTTTTTAAAGGAGAAAAAAACCCCAAAACATTGATGGGACCAATATTAAGGAGCTTACCACCTATGTTTGGTTTAGTGATACAGTTTCATTCTTTGGCATGTGGGTGTCCAGTTTTCCCAATATTTGTTAAACTCCTTTTCCTATTGTATATTCTTGGCTCTTTTGCCATAAATTAATTGACCATATATTCATGGTTTATTTATGGGTTGTCTATTCTGTTCCATGGATCTATGTATCTGTTTTTATGCCAATACCATACTATTTTGATTACTATACCTTTGTAGTACAGTTCAAAATCAGGAAACATAATACCTCCGGCTTTGTTCTTCTTTCTCGAGATTGCTTTGGTTTTCAGGGTCTTTTGTGGTTCCATACACATTTTAGGATTCTTTGTTCTGTTTCTGTGAAAAATGCCATTAGAATTTTGATAGGGGTTGCACTGAAACTATAGCTTGCTTTGAGTAGTATGTACATTTTGACAGTATTAATTCTTCCAATTCATGAACACAGAATATGTTTCCATTTATGTGTGTCTTCTTCAGTTTCTTTCACCAATGTCAGTTTTCAGTGCACAGGTCTTTTTCTTCCTTGGTTAACTTTATTCCTAGGTATTCCACTGTGTTTTTTTTTTTTTTTTAAAGTTTGGAAAACTCTATTGAGAGAATTCCAACATTGAATATTCCATTCTTTTTGATGCAATTGTAAATGGAATTATTTTTATTAATTTCTCTTTCTGGTAGTTCATTATCAGTGTATAAAAACACAATAGATTTTCGTATACTGATTTTGTATCCCTCAACTTTCCTAATTTATTAGTCACAACAATTTTTTTGGTGGAATCTTCAGGGTATTCTATATATAAAATCATGTTGTTTGCAAAAGGTGACAGTTTTACTTCTTCCTTTCCAATATGAACACTTTTTATATCATTTTCTTCCTAATTGGTTGGGCTAGGATTCCTCGTACCATGTTAAATGTCTGTGGCAAGAGCGGGCATCCTCGTCTTATCCTTGATCTTAGAGAATAACCTCGTCTTATCCTTGATCTTACAGAATAAGCTTTCTTTTTTTCACCATTGAGTGTGATGTTAGCTGTGGGCTTGTCATATATGGCCTTTATCATGTTTAGGCATGTTCCCTCTATACATGCTCTAGAGAGAATTTTATCATAAATAGATGTTGAATTTTACCAAATGCTTTTTCTGCATATTTTGAGGTGGTTATATGATTTTTTATCCTTCTTTTGGTTAATGTGGTATCACACTTCTTGATTTGTGATGCATCCTTGGATCCCTGGAATAAATCCTACCTGATGGTGGTGTATGATATTTTTAATATATTGCTGAATTTGGTTTGCTAACATTTGTTGAGAGGTTCTGCATGTAAGTTCATTAGGGATATTGGCCTGTAATTTTCTTTTTTTGGTGTCCTCATCTGGTTTCAATATCAGGGTAGTGTTGGCCTCATAAAGTCAGTTTGGAAATATTCCATCCTATTAAATTTTTTGAAACATTTTGAGGAAGATAGGTATTAGATATTCTTTGAATGTTTAGCAGAATTCACCAATGAAGTCTTCTGGTCCTGGACTTCTGTTGGTTGGGACCGGCAATCTTCTTGCTAGTAATTAGTCTATTCAGATTTTCTATTTCCTCATGGTTCAGTCTTAGAGATTGTATGTTTCTTCAGATTTATCCACTTTTTTCTAGTTTGTCCAATTTTTTGGCATATAATTCTTCTTACTAGTCTCATAGTAGGTCCTTTGTATTTCTTTGATATCAGTTGTAACTTACTCCCTTTTGTTTCTGATTTTGAGTCCTCTCTTTTTTTTTCTTAGTGAGTGGAGCTAAAAGTTTATCAATTTTGTTTATCTTTTCAAAGAACAACCTCTTAGTTTCATTGATCTTTCCCATTGTCTCTTTAGTCTCTATTTTTTAATTTCCACTCTGATATTTATTATTTTCTTCCTTCTTTTACCTCTGGGCTTCATTTATCCCTATTTTTCTAGCCCTTTTAGGAGTAAAATTAGATTATTTATTTGAGATTTTTCTGATTTCTTGAGGTAGCTCTGTATCACTATTAACTTCCCTCTTAAAACTGCTTTTGCTGTAGCGCATAAATTTTGGTGTGTTGCATTTCCACGTTCATTTGCCTCAAGGTATCTTTTTATTTTTTCCTTGACCTACTAGTTGTTCAGTAAGTAGCATATTTTTAAGTCTCCACATATATGTGATTTTTCCAGTTTTCCTTTTGTGATTGACTTCTCGTTTCATACAATTATGGTCTAAAAAGATGTTTAATATAATTTCAATCTTCTTAAATTTATTGAGACTTTTTCTTGGCCTAACATATGATTTATCCCTGAGAATGTTCCATGAGAAGAATGTATATTCTGTTGCTTATGGATGGAATGTTTTGTCTAATGTGTCATTTAAGGCCAGTGTTTCCATATTGATTTTCCATCTGGATGATCTAGCCATTAATGAATATGGAGTGCTAAGTCCCCCTACTATAATTGTATTGCTGTCAATTTCTCCCTGTAGGTCTGTTAATATTTGTTTATATATTTAGGGTGCTCCTATCTATATTGGGTATATAAATATTTACAAATGTTAAAATTTTTTTAAATATATTTACAAATGTTATATATTCTTGCTAGATGGACCTTTGTGTCATTATGTAATGCCTATCTTTGTCTTTTATTATAGTCTTTTGTTTTAAAGTCTATTTTAAAGTATGGTATAAGCACAATTACCACAATTTTCTTTTGGTTTCTATCTGCATGGGGCATCTTTTTCCATCCTTTTGTTTTCAATCTGTGTGGGTCATTACATCTAAAGTGAGGTTTCTTTAGGGAGCATATAGAATGAAAAAAAAAAAAAAACAACAATCCATTCAGCCACTCGATGTCTTTTGACCAGAGAATTTAGTCCATTTATGTTTAAAGTAATTATAGGTAGGTGTATACTTACTACCATTTTGTTTATTGTTTTCTGGCTATTTTATAGGTCCCTTCTGTTCTTTCTCCTTCTCTTGCTTTCTATCCTTGTGGTTTGAAGGCTTTCTTTAGTGTTATGTTTAGATTTCATTTTCATTATCTTTTTTGTATATGCCATAGGTTTTTGCTTTATGGTCACCATGAGACTTACAAATATAAGTCTATGTATATATACCAGTCTATTTTAAGTTGGTATCAAGTATGAACACATTCTGAAATTCTATATTTTTACTTCCCAGTCCCACATTTTATGCTTTTGATGTCACATTTACATCATTTTGTATACATATTCTAAATAATTATTGTAGTCTTAGTTATTTTTTACTACTTTTGTCTTTTAATCTTCGTGCTAGCTTTAAAAGTGATTAAAGGTAGTGTTTACGGGCAGCCCAGGTGGCTCAATGGTTTAGTGTTGCCTTCAGCCCAGGGCGTGATCCTGGAGACACAGGATCGAGTCCCATGTCAGGCTCCCTGCATGGAGTCTGCTTCTCCCTCTGCCTGTGTCTCTGCCTCTCTCTATCTCTGTGTCTCTCTTGAATAAATAAATAAAATCTTTTTTTAAAAAGGTAGTGTTTACTACCTTTAATATATATTTAACCTTACAGGGAAATTTTTACTTTCATGTTTTCTTGGTACTAGTTAGTGCTCTTTCTTTTTATTTAAAGACATTTCTTTAACGTTTCTTGTAAGGATGGGTTAGTGGTGGTGAACTCCCTGGTTTTTGGTTGTCTGGAAAACTCTAGCTCTCTTCAATTTTGAAAATTGTGCTGGGTGAGTTATCTTGGGAGTTTTTTGCTTTCAGCACTTTGAATATATCATATCATTCCCTACTGGCATGCAAAGTTTCTGCTGAAAAATCTGCTGATAATCTTGTGGGGGCTCCCTTATTTGTAACACGTTTTTCTTTTGGTTTTAAGATTCTCTCTTTATCTTTGAATTTTGACATTTTAATGTAATATATCTTAGTGTGGATCTCTTCAGGTTCATCTTATTTTGAACTATGGGTTTCCTGGACATGGGTGCATATTTTGTCTTCCAGGTTAGGGCAGTTTTCAACTATTATATTTTCAAATAAGTTTTCTGTTCTTTTTTCTCTCTCTTTTCTTTATGGGACCTCTAGTATGCAACTGTTGTTCCATCAGACATTGTCCTATAGGTTTCTTAAAAGATCTTCACTTTTTCTGATTATTTTTTCTTGTTCCTGTTCTGCTTAGGTGAGTTCCACTGCCCTGTATTCTGGGTTACTGAACTTTTCTTATGCTTTATCTAGTCTGTCGCTGAACCCCTATAGTATGTTTCAGTTTGGTTACTACATTTTTAAGATCTATGACTTATGTCTAGTATTTTCTTACATTTTTCTATTTCCTTGTTAAAATTCCCTTTTGTTCATTCATTCTTCTCCCAAGACTGGTGAGCATCTTTATGACCACTACTATGGAATTTTTATCATGTAAATTACTTATCTCTGTTTCATTAAGTTTTTTAAATTTTATTTATTTTTTTCCTCCCTGGGGTTTTATCTTGTTCTTTCACTTGGAACATATTCCTCTGATCTTTTGTTTGTTTTTTGTTCTTTCATTTTGCTCTCTGTGTTGATTTCTATGTATTAGGTGAAAGAACTATCTCTCCCAGTCTTAAAGGATTGGTCACAAGAAGACTGAGACAACTCTCAGTCTTCATCTCTGTAGTATCCTCATGGTGGTAATCTGCAAAGAACTGTTTCTCTGATTATTTCAGTCCCATGGGGCTTAGATGTGTAACCACTCTGGTCACCAGAGTTGGGAATTCACAAGGCATCCCCTGTGTGGCCTGTGCATACCTATGGCTTTGTTTGGGCTGTGGTGGAGTGCCAGGCTGGGGCAAGCCCACCTGCCAGGGTTAGTAATGTGGGACTGTAGCAGTGATATGGGGTAAACAGTGCTAGTAAGGTAGAAGGAGAGTGCAAAAATGATACCTGCCAGCACTTCCATGCTTTGAAAGAGTTCCAGGAGACACCTTACCTTCCAGCAGACATTTTAAGATTAGCCAGTGAATCCCCTTTGCAAGCAGTCTAGGCGTTTTTCAACTTGCTGTGTTTGTACTGGGCCTGGGGGTGAGTAAGTCTGTGCATATGCCCTTTAAGAGTGGAGTTTTAGGGGGTGCCTGGGTAGCTGAGTCAGTTGAGCATCCAACTCTTGTTTTGGCTCAGGTTATGATCTCAGGGTTGTGAGTTTGAACCCTGCATTGGGCTCCATACTCAGTGGGGAGTCTGCTTGAGATTCTTTCCCTCTGTCCCTACCTCTGCTTCCTTGCTCTCTCTCTCTCTCAAATAAATAAATCTGAAAGAAAAAGAAAGAAAGAAAGAAAGAAAGAGAAAAGAAAGAAAGAAAGAAAGAAAGAAAGAAAGAAAGAAAGAAAGAAAGAAAGAAAAAGTGGAATCAGTTTCTCATAGCCTTTTGGGTGTCCTGGACATAAGCCAGATGTTTTTGGGGCTTGTCCCTTTGGCGTAGGTCCCAAGGGTTGGGGGCCCTGATGTGGGGCTCAGACCCCTTGCTCCTCAAGGATGTGTTCTGTATTTTTCAGAATCTCCCTGTTTGTAAGTTGCCACACAAGGGGGGTAGAGTTTTTGGCAAGAGCATGCCTCTGCCTCTCCTATCCATCCCTGTGTGGCCTTTTTATCCTTTGTATGATGGAACTATTCAGCTAGTTTTCAGATCTTCTTCAGAGAGAATTGTTCTCTATATAGCTGTAGATTTGTTGTGCAAGGGGAGGAGGTGAGTTCAGGGTCTTCCTATGCCCCTGTTTTGAAACCTGTTCTTGATTAATTTCATCTTGATCCTAAAGAATCGTTCTTAGAAATTTCCTACTATCCCAAAGTTAAGAAAATAATCATTCTAAAATGTAAGAACTGCAAAAATTGCCCTCTCCATCCCAAAAGAGATCACAATGAGAAAAGATCAAACAGCTTCTACTTAATGATTAGATGTTGCATTGTCATTTTCTTTTCTTAGAGAAAATAGGCAATACTATTCAGAGGTTGACTGCCAATTATTTATTCTGAGTCTAAATGGTTACTTTGCTTTTTATTTTTATTTTTTTATTTTTTATTTTTATTTTTTTGTTACTTTGCTTTTTAGAGTCAAAAATGAATAAATGAACTTTTGATAAAGAAAGTACTGCAGACAGAATACCTTTTGGGTGTGTCTCGAAAGAGATAACTGCTAATTTCAGCTCCATCTGGAATTACTGATGAATCATGAAAAAATGCCTTGTCACGGATCTGCATCTGAAAAAGTTCTTCATCTCGAGTGGGTAGCTTCTGAGTCCTTGAGCTGAGTGGTAATAGCAGCCACAGCAGACACCAGTGGAGAGGCACCATCCTGAGGTAACAGAAATGATTGCTTACATTAGTTCTGCAGGTAGACACTTAGGCAAGTTGCAAACTTTCTAAAGGGTTAAGAATATTTTAGTTTTGATATAAAGTTACAGTTGCATTATGTACTTTGAATACATACATGATCTTTTTTTAAAAAAAGATTTTATTTATTTATTCATGAGAGATGAGAGACCAGAGAGAGAGAGGCAGAGACACAGGCAGAGGGAGAAGCAAGCTCCATGCAGGGAGCCCGACGTGGGACTCGATCCTGGGTCTCCAGGATCACGGCGCTAAACCGCTGAGCCACCTGGCTGCCCTACATACATGATCTTGAAGACAACTTTCCTGTTTTGTTTTTTTGTCCCAAAGTATTTCATGGAGTTGACAACAAATTCACTAGAATTTCAGATATTAAAAGATTTTGAAATGAAAGGACTCTTGGTACATTAACTTCTCTGGATATTCAGAGAGAAAATTCCCACTTCACTATGGCAGAAGTCAAAATGGTTCTTGCAGAAATGTGCACACAAATGTCTCAAAGAATTGCACCATAGCATAAAGAGACACATAGATTCACTGAGAGCCAGAAAAGTACCATCACACAATTATTTTTATTCTTTCTTGAAATTTGACTAAGGATTATACATGTATAATATTATTCTTGTTTCCAAGGTCATTTTTTCATAAAACAGAGGTTTTTAGAGAGGTTTAATTATTTTATAGGTTAAGCATTTTGTCCAAAATCACAAGGTAAATTATTTGCTGATGTCTAATTATTATTCATTACTAGACTCTTCAGCACAACATTTAAATATAAACTTTTATCATATTAAAAGTGGGCCTGGATTCCCACTCTTGAATCAGGTGAGATCATTGGAAAATTATATAATTCGGTCATTTGTCTAAACCTTCAGCAGAGTTATATATTTACTACACCTGCCGAGTGTTTTCATTGAGTTCCATTTTGGCATTCAAACTGACTTTCACCAAAGATCCTGTAGATAATTGGGTAATTATGGATCACTCTCTACTGCACACTGCTATAGGGATATTGTCAAGGATACCATCATCTACATGTCTCAGTGTCTCTAACAGGAAGCCTCAGGTAGGCAAGCTCTTTTGATGTCAAGTACTGGTGAAAGGCTTTTTTCTCTGAGGATTTGTTTGGTGCCCTTCTCCCTCACAAAAAGAACTCTGTAAGAAGGTGTTTTCCCTTATCTCTTTGACAATGTACATCAGGGAATTCAAGCATTTGGGAAACATAGTATGTTTATACTTAAGTGCTTGAAATAGTGGGAAAGTCAAATGAAAACATTTGCAATAATTTGAAATGAAGTGAACATCAGTTTTATTTCTAAAGCATCATTACTATAGCTATGAGATCACCTCTACTCAAACCATCATTTGACTTTAATTTTATCTTTCTTGGAGTGCTATCAAAAATAGATTCATACAACTAAAAATATTTTTGAAAAGAATATGCTTTTCTTTTTTATGAGAATGTGAGAAGTAATTTTCTCACAGTGAGCTTACTCAAAAAGTAAATTTAACTTCCTTTTTCAAAAACAGGTGGTTGAAACAAACAAACAAACAGGTGGTTGTCGTTTTTTTTTTGCCATGTGTTCTGAAGTTTTCCATATAAGATATCTGTAGTAATTGAGAGTTACCATGTGCAAAGCAAGGTGTTAAATTCACTAGCTGCATTATTGCATTTAGTCTTCACAATAATATTGTGAAGTAGGTGCTATTCTCATATAAGAATAAACCTTTTTTTTAACATAAGCAGAGAAAGGATATAAATCCAGGTGGATCTTACTGCAGAGCCCAAACATTTGTCCTCTATAATATCTCTCAAGAAAGCCATCATAATTTCTAAGAAGGGGTTCTTATTTCTCATCCTCATTTCTCAATTGTATTGTAATTGAATACTTGACTAAGAGCTAAGAAATCTGACTTTTAAGTTGTAGTGCTAACTAGATGTGTAATCTAAGGCAATGCTTCACCACCCTGGATGGACCTCAATTTTTTGAAGGGTTTAGATAATGATCTCTAAACTTTGAAAACAAATGATGATTCTGAGACTGAACCCTCAACTCTTCCTCCCAACTAGCTAGTAGTTTAGAAGTAAGACCAGGCCTTCTTAAGTTTCATCAAATAATCTGAACCTCAGATATCCAGATGATTGTCTGGATGGAATCCAAGAAGTTGGGGATGGAAAGCGGGAGCTCAGATTAGTTACTAATAGCAGATGAAGCATATAACTACAAAAGATGGCCAGATAGATCAAAATCAAAACTCAGTGAACCTTTTTAAAACCAACACGGACATGGTTGACTAAACTGAATGAGACCTCTACTCACAACCCTTAATCCCTCTCCTCTGATGCCCTTCTTCCTGCAGCTAACAGAAATGAACAATTTGATAGACTAGAATTTGCTTGACTGCCACTATTAAGAAATAATTATTATTTCAGCATAATGGAATATATCTAGCTTACTTTATAGCAGCATCCCGGAAACTTTGATTCCTGAGAGCCGAAGAAGCTGGATAGTAAAATTCGTCTCTTTAGAAATGGTTAGAATTTGGCTTTCCATAATTATTAGGAACTTAGAGCAAACATGCTATGGCAGCACTGAGTATGAGCTACTCAGATGTATTTGCCCTAGAACCACTCCAGGGCAGCTTTACCTCATTAGGCTCTATGTTTGCCCAGAAAGTTGTCACTGTAGAGTAGCACAGTACAACTGAGCAAGACATGCTGCCCAATGCCCCAGGAGATTTGGGATATTTAGGTCAGCTCCAGAGTAGGAGAGGTAGCTAGGTATGATTGGTAGGGTTTTCCCAGCATCCAGGCCATCCTCCATGGGACGAACTTTCTCTTTATTAAATCAGTAAATAAGAAATGAGTTTTGAGTTAAAAACAACAATATTACTAAATTTTGTTTTGTACGTGATGCACTCTTCTAAATGTTTTATATACATTATCTTAGGTAATGATAGCAACAATTCTATGATGTAGGCAATATTATTTCTCTCATTTCAAAAACGATCAAATTGAGGCTTGGACATGTAAGATCACATAATGAATACAATATGATATAAGGAATACAATTTATCATGAGTAAGTTAATATGGAAAGTAGAATTATTGTATATTCTCCATATCAGCTACTTTAAAATTTATAAATAAATAAATGACAGTGAACAGCTTCAGATGATAGGATTTTACAACATAAGTGTTGAGAGAGAATTCTCCAGGGGTCTCTGTGCTTGTTTTTACACTTCTTGCGAGCAGAACTAACTGCCTTTGTTCCAGATTATCTTCTCAAGGATGTTTGTATAATGAAAAGCCTTAGAAGATAAAGTTTCTGGAGCCAAGAGCAGGCTTGCTCACTATACCACGGAAGATCTGGGATCCCCAAGCTCAGGATTCGTAAAAAAACCTATTTCGGCGCTGGTGTCGTCTCGCCCTCTTTTCATCAGTGGGAACTGGGGGTCAGGGAGCCAGTGGGAGAAAACCATGGATTCTACTATTGCTCTGAATTGCACTGAGTATTGCTTTTGTCTCTGACCCAGGAGTCTCATGCCATCTAGCATCAATGAAACTATGTATGACAGGCTGACTTGTTAGCTTACAAGCAGAGTAAAATCTCAAACTCTTCACAGTTCTTGACATAATGTTTTACTTACTAAATTATTTTACTGGCTTATCTACTTTACCGGCTTAGATAGAAGTTTTTATTTAGATTACTCCAACAGGGAGTAGACTCAACTCTTATCTTTTGCTTTCTTTATTAAAAAAAAAATCATTATTCCTCCAGTTAAAATTCTATCAGGTAAATTTTTTTTTCTGAAACAATTTTAACCATTTTACTTGTGTATTATGGGCAAAAGACACTTTTGGGAAAAGTGTTTAAAATTAATATAATTCCTTTCTTTTTTTTTTCATTCTATCTATATAAGATGGATGCTAGCTAAGCCTATTGTGGTAATCATTTCATCATATATCTAAATCAAACTATCATGTATGCACCTAAAATTTACACAGGAATGTATGACAACTATCTTTCAATAAAACTGGAAAAAATTAGTATGATCCCAAAGCACAGATCTTTATATTCTACAGAATTATCTTTTTGAAAATGTTATCTAATAACAGTCTCTATTGTTGGGGAAAAGCATACTCAGTCATTAGAGAAAGTTAATCATTTGATCGATTTGATCAGGTTACAGTCAGAATTATCTTAAATGAAATGTATTTAAAAGAAGCATTGAAGATAGCTAATAAAAATATTATGCAGAGTGTATATATTTTTACAACTTCACTGATCCAAGGTTAAAGCTTTACTTAGATATTGTTTAAAGGGTTGTTTTAAGATTTTATAGATTTCCCCCCCTACTAATAAAATGTTGTCTCACAGACACTCAGCTTAAGAATTAGTTATTTTAAATAAACAACTAAAAATACATTCCTCTTAAGAATAAGACTTGGGTAAGCCAGTCTATAAGAACTGACTTTTCTTCTAAGATTACAAAAGTGCCCTCTAATGGCATAACTTTTCCTCTCATTTATTTTTGTTGCTTCTAGGTATGCAGAGCTTATCTAAATTAAAAGTTTAAATTAAATAACACTTCTCAACGTTTCTCTTTCAGCATTATTTCTTTGTCAAGGGCAGCTGGTAGCAATCTCGACAACCTATCTGTATAACAAGAAACCACACTCTTTTTATAATGAAGGGTCTAGTTTCAACAGAAGTAGGAAGTTGCTAGGATGATTCCAAATATTTTTATTTTTCTAGGTAGATCAATCAACTTGGCTCCACAATTATCCACAGCCCAAAAAAACTAGATGGTGGTTACCCTATTACTGAGAAGATTGACTTTGTTTCAATTAAAAAGTTCTAATGAATCAAGTAATAAAGATGCTAATCTAAAACTGATATTGTTCATGTTGTCAGAGGTATTTCCATATTTGGCATACTCTTTTAGACCCTGCCAAGACTGA